TTTTGGTGCCGATTGCCGGTGTTTTTGGTGCCGATTCCCGGGATTTTGGTGCCGATTGCCGGTGTTTTTGGTGCCGATTCCCGGTGTTTTTGCCGTTCCAGAGGGGGATTTCTACGGGCGGCTGGCGGGCTCCATCGCCCCCGAGATCTTCGGCCACGAGGACGTGAAGAAATCGCTGCTGCTGCTGCTGGTGGGGGGCGTGGAGCAGAACCCGCGCGGGATGCGCATCCGGGGTGAGCCCAGAGCGCCCGGAAAAATCCCGGGAAATCCCCGGAAAAACGGGGGGAAAATCCTGGGAAAGTCCTGGGAAAAGGCCGGGAAAATCCCAGAAAAGTCGCACAAAAATCCTGGGAAAAGCCTGGGAAAAGCCTGGGAAAATCCTGGGAAAATCCCAGAAAAGTCGCAGGAAAATCCTGGGAAAATCCTGGGAAAATCCTGGGAAAAGCCTGGGAAAATCCTGGGAAAATCCTGGGAAAATCCCAGAAAAGTCGCAGGAAAATCCTGGGAAAAACCTTGGGAAAAACACAGGAAAAATCCTGGGAAAAATGCCGGGAAAAATCCTGGGAAAAAATCCCGGGAAAAATCCTGGGAAAAATCTTGGGAAAAACACGGGAAAAATACGAGAAAAATTCCGGGAAAAATACTGGGAAAAATACTACGAAAAATCCCAGAAAAATTGCAGGAAAAATCCCAGAAAAATTGCAGGAAAAATCACAGGAAAATCGCAGGAAAAATCCTGGGAAAATCCTGGGAAAATCCTGGTTGAAACCCTGGGAAAAACACAGGAAAAACCCAGAAAAATCCCAGGAAAAATCGCGGGAAAAGTCCTGGGAAAAATCCTGGGAAAAATCCCAGGAAAAATCCCGGGAAAATCCTGGGAAAAACACGGGAAAAAACCGGGAAAAATCCCGGGAAACTCTTGGGAAAAATCCTGGGGAAATCTTGAGAAAAATCCCAGGAAAAACCAGGAAAAATCCTGGGAAAAACCCAGGGAAAAAAATCCCCGGAAAAATCCTGGGAAAACCCTGGGAAAAATCCCTGGGAAATGGGAAGGGAGGCACGGTGCTTATCCCAAATTTTTCCTGCTTTTTCCTCATTTTTCCCATTTTTCCCCCATTTCCTGCCCTCATTCCCGTTGTTTTTCCCGTTTTCCCCATTTTTTCCCGTTTTTTCCCCCATTTCCTGCCCTCATTCCCATTGTTTTTCCCATTTTTCCCGTTGTTTTTCCCATTTTTCCCGTTTTTCCCCCGTTCCCTGCCCTCATTCCCGTTGTTTTTCCCATTTTTCCCGTTGTTTTTCCCATTTTTCCCGTTTTTCCCCCGTTTCCCTGCCCTCATTCCCGTTGTTTTTCCCATTTTTCCCGTTGTTTTTCCCGTTTTTTCCCGTTTTTCCCCCGTTTCCCGCCCTCATTCCCGTTTTTCCCGTTTTTCCCCCGTTTCCCGCCCTCATTCCCGTTGTTTTTCCCGTTTTTCCCGTTGTTTTTCCCGTTTTTCCCGTTTTTCCCCCGTTCCCTGCCCTCATTCCCGTTTTTTCCCTCCCCAGGGAACATCAACATTTGTCTGATGGGAGATCCGGGCGTGGCCAAATCCCAACTGCTCTGCTACATCGACCGCCTGGCGCCCCGCAGTGAGTGAGCCTTCGTCATCATCCTCATCTTCATCATCTTCATCTTCATCATCTTCATCCTCATCTTCATCCTCATCCTCTTCTTCATCTTCTTCTTCCTTATCTTCATCTTCCTCCTCTTCTTCCTCCTCCTGCTACATCGACCGCCTGGCGCCCCGCAGTCAGTGAGCCTTCGTCATCATCCTCATCATCCTCATCTTCATCTTCATCATCTTCATCCTCATCTTCATCCTCATCCTCTTCTTCATCTTCTTCTTCCTTATCTTCATCTTCCTCCTCTTCTTCCTCCTCCTGCTACATCGACCGCCTGGCGCCCCGCAGTCAGTGAGCCTTCGTCATCATCCTCATCATCCTCATCTTCATCATCCTCATCTTCATCCTCATCTTCATCCTCATCCTCTTCTTCATCTTCTTCTTCCTTATCTTCATCTTCCTCCTCTTCTTCCTCCTCCTGCTACATCGACCGCCTGGCGCCCCGCAGTGAGTGAGCCTTCGTCCTCATCTTCATCCTCATCTTCATCTTCATCATCTTCATCTTCATCATCTTCATCATCATCATCCTCATCATCCTCATCTTCATCATCTTCATCTTCATCATCTTCATCATCATCTTCATCTTCATCCCCATCCTCTTCTTCCTTATCTTCATCTTCCTCCTGTTCCTCCTCCTGCTACATCGACCGCCTGGCGCCCCGCAGTGAGTGAGCCTTCGTCATCTTCATCATCCTCATCTTCATCTTCATCATCTTCATCTTCATCATCTTCATCCTCATCTTCATCCTCATCTTCATCCTCATCCTCATCTTCATCTTCTTCTTCCTTATCTTCATCTTCATCCTCTTCTTCCTCCTCCTGCTACATCGACCGCCTGGCGCCCCGCAGTGAGTGAGCCTTCGTCATCTTCATCCTCATCTTCATCCTCATCTTCATCATCCTCATCCTCATCCTCATCCCCATCCTCTTCTTCCTTCTCCTCCTCCTCCTCCTGCTACATCGACCGCCTGGCGCCCCGCAGTGAGCCTTCATCATCCTCATCATTTTCATCATCCTCATCTTCATCATCCTCATCTTCATCATCCTCATCTTCATTCTCATCCTCATCCTCATCTTCATCCTCATTTTCATCTTCTTCATCTTCATCTTCCTCCTCCTCCTCTCTCGTTTCTTCCTCCCCGTCATCATCTTCCTCCTCGCAGTGTTCCACTTTTCTCCATTTCCCAAAATCCCAAAA